TTCAGTTCTGTGTATGAACTGGCTGGAAATGAAATTGGCTTAAGAACTTCTATTTCAGATTTCATGTCTTTCCTCTAGTTTGGACACAGTGGTAGTCTGGGATTTCGTCTGCTCCTTGTTTACCTTGGCTCTGAATTGGTGGCTTCACCTGATTCTTTACCTCTCCCAGCTGTGACAGGAAAGAATGAACCAATCACGTTAATTTCCCTTAGCAAGTTTTTTGAAGATTGTAGTTTCCATTTATAACTTTTTGTATGCGTCCTCTCCAAACTCTTCTCCTTTTATTTGACACTTTCTATCTGACCTGTCTACCAATGGACCACTATAAAGAAATAATCAATGTTATCAATATTGGTCTAAAAGAAGGACTTAACCCCCTTCTCAAAGAGGTTTTAGCCAAGTCCAACGCTTTCCTCCATGCTTCCCAAAGGGGTTAGCTAGGGCATGGATCCTGCCCATGCATGGCAGAATTCGTATCCTATTCAAAACAAGCCAAAATAAATTCTAGAGAATATCTCTAGAGTTTATCCCAATCACATCCTCTGATTCTACCCATTTGGAATCAGTGATTAACCTGCAAAATGCTATCTCTAGCATAACATTCCACAATTAGTTGTAGCCCTGGACTTTATAAAAGATGCTGAGTTGTATCCTGAAAACCCCGAAGATTTTTCAACACAGTCTTTAACAGAGAGACACCAGCATTGAAATGTAAAGCCAAAAAATTGTACCGTTTCTTGAATAAGTCGTTGTATCAAATTTTGTCAGATGTCTGAAATAGAGTATAGGCTGTAGTTCCTCAAAGATCTAAATAAAAGTTTTATTTTTGATGAGATCAGGAAATGAAAGCAATATCACAGTGGGTATTACCACTTTTAAAGAATTATCAAATTAGCAAAAGCGAAAAGCATTTTGTTTATGATGCCTTGATCTACAAATGTTTTTGGGGGGCAAGTTCAAACGCAGAAAATGAACATAATGTACATCATTGGGGAAAAAAAAATAGCTACAGTTCTTAGAAATGTGGGCTTGAAATTTGTGAAACTCAAATGGCCTGTGACAAACTATTTTCTTATGCAGCTCTGGAACTGTTGAACCAGCCTGTATATAACTTTTGGGGTGAAAGACTATATGAAGAGATGTGCCTTCTTATTTGATGCCACTGTATTTACTTGCAAGCTGTGACAAAGTGATTGGCACAGTTACCTATATGCTCTCTGGCACTTCTTGTGGAATTTTGCCCAAGTAAGGAGCACAATACAAGAATAACCATGTTTACTGCAACAATTGTTGGATGTCTGCTTTGCAAAAATGAGGAACTGGAACAATGGAAAAGCAAAGATTTCTATAGAAGTTGAGGGCTACCACACAGAAAATCCTAAGAATCTGATTAGCTGGCCAGTTTGGAGAAGCTGGGCAAGTGCTTGTCAATGAGGGGGGTGTGTTCTATTGTTAGGCAAAATGGGCTATCTGGCTGTGGAATTCTGGGAATTGAAGTCCTCATGCCTTAAAATTGTCAAGTTTGGGAAACACTGCCCTAGATGAAGGCATTGGGGGGGGGGGGAGAATTGTTTGTTTTGTTTGTGGAGGGTGTGTGTGATATACCAGCAGAATCAAGTTAGGCGCTGTCTGAATTTTTTATTCCAAAAAGATTCACCATCACTGGATTAGAGACTTCGGGGGTTTAACAACTTTAATAAATAAAGATGTGTAAATGCATGCGCGTCACTGGTATTTATTAGCAGCCAATCAGATTGGATGGTTAGCACTCACTCATATATAACACTGATGTGTTATATAAGTTACTACACAAACAGTCTGAGCTGCTTAGTACTTGTTACCATATATACTTCAGGACAGTATTAAAACATTAAACTTGACTCTATTGACTGCTTTGGGAAAATGGTACTGAAACAGCTGATAGAGCAGGCAGAGCGCACCTGTTTCATAATGCTGAAAAACCAGTGAAACCCTGAAAATGGTTCACAACACGATTTCATCTGAAACTACAACAGATTTCAATTCTGGCATAAAGCTTTACGGTACACAGGAAACCTTCCTTCATTTCTATAGTGCGTTACCCCTGAATATTTGCTCGGATACTATCAGCTTATATTAAACAATAAAATTACTCAGCAGTGGAAAAGTTCCAGAATATGAAATTGTCTTTCTACATTTCAGTTCTGTTCAGATAGTCAATGAGATTAAGATGAGTTTCATTTTCTGCGCGACAGTGACAAATAAAAGAACTATCACCGCAGGTGAAATAGCAACAAAAAAAATAATAATAAGACAAAAAGATATTGTGAAATTTCCTGAAGTGTCTGCTTACTTTATTTGCAGAAATATTGGTGAAGTGATTAGTTTGGTAGAAGGCTACGCTTTTTTCCCCCTTTGAATGTTTGTGGAACTGTAGTTTTGCTCTCCTGCATTCTTAGTCTGCTGTCTCTCTCTCTCACACACACACAAAAACACAGTGGTGCTTTTGGCCCACCATTTCCTGCAACAACCAAATGTCTGATAATGATTGAGACAGAAGCTAAAACAATGGGAAAAGTTGTGTTTTTAAGTTGGCTCAGACTCTTCATTCTTCGCATCACAAAATAAATTAGAACAGTTTCAGTTGTGTTACAATGGCACTGTGCAACTGGCATGTATTTATGACAGCTGCAGTGTCCCGGGGTCATGTGATCGCTTTTTGCAACCTGACATGCAAAATCAATGGGGAAACCAGATTCACTTAACAACCATGGATGTAACAACTACAGTGATTCACTTAACAACTGTGGCAAGAGAGGTTGTAAAATGGGACAAAACTCACTTAACAACTGTCTTGCTTAGCAACAGAAATTTTGGACTCCATTGTAGTCATAAGTTAAGGACTACCCTCTGTATTCCCTTGTTGCTCAAGAAAAGTTTTGAGTGCCCTGCCTTTCCCTAAAGGTGTCTTTAGTTAGTTACATAATAGAATTGGAAGGGACCTTGGAGATCTTCTAGTCCAACCCCTTGCTCAAGCTGCAAACTTTAATTATATAATAGAGTTGGAAGGGACCTTGGAGGTCTTCTAGTCCAGCCCCCTGCTCAAGCTGGAAACCTTATACCATTTCAGACAAATGGCTGTCCAGTCTCTTCTTTAAAAATTGTCCAGTGATAAAGCACCCACAACCACTGAAAGCAAGTTTTTCCACTTGTTCATTGTTTCTCACTGTTAGGAAGTTTCGCCTTAATTCTAGATTGTTTTTCTCCTTGATTAGTTTCCACCCATTGTTTCTTGTCTTCTGGTGCTATGGAAAATAAATTGACCCCCTTTTCTCTGCGGCAGCCCTCACTGGAACACTGCTATCATGTCACCTCTTATGCCACGATATCTTGTAAATGGTACCATCAATTAGCCAGGCATCCCAGAGATTTATTTTTTCAGACAGCGTTGATATTGCCTATCACAGGAAAGAAGGAGAAGGGACTTTCATAGCATTGCAGATAGCAAGCCAAGTGAAAATATAAATGGGAAAGGATTTGGAAGCTACACTGAGGAGAGTCTGGATTCAGGGCATGGCAAGATCCAGTCCTCATGGCCTTTCAGGAAAATGGTAGTTTTCGAAAGCCAATTTGACTTTGGATGCCCTATTTGTATCTGCAACCTGCTTTTGGTTTATTAGGATTGATATTCTTTTGGGCCTCAATCACTTGCAGCACTATTTAATTTTGCCATCAGCACCCAAAAGAATATTAGAAAGTCAGCTTTTTATAATAGAAACAGCTTCAGGAAAAAAAGTGTTATATATAGTCAAAAGAGCATGGTTGTTTTTTAAAAAAACCCATCTGTGGTACAAACAAAATTTATATTATATTTATACACTGCTTCCAACATCAAAGAATCTCTAAGAAATTACAGTAAAAGCAGTATAACACATAATACATAAAAGGATATGGAATATGAAATAGTAGCATTTGCAAGAGGCATCTAGATGACTGTATAGAACAGGAAGCCTTCGTTTATTATCTGTCTTAGTGACTTTTCAGAGTTACAATGGTAATGAAGAAGTAACTTACGTTTACAACTGTCACAAGCTCATAAAGCAAAGGAAAGCTGAAGTAAGATCTATAAACACAGCAGTGGTTTCACTTTGTGACCACTTTGCTCCAAGTCCAAGTTACCAGTCCCAATTGTAATCACTAAATGAGGACTACCAGAACTGCAGAGGGAGAAGTCTAGAGTGTAGTTATCACCTCAGAGCACTTCCACCATCAGTCTGCATTTAGCAGTTCTGCATATTATCTTGGTGATCAAAGAGGAACATAACAGCGAAGACTCATTTGAGATTTATCCTGATCCCAAACCATTAATATATATATAAGTGCAATATATACACTAGGGAAAAATAGTGAAACAAGCAATGCCTTTCTAATTAACCTCTATCCAGACAAGCCAAAAATATTTCAACTACACCAAAAAGAAAACAGCAAAATCATTTTTTTGCAATTCTGTTGGAAGATATAGCTGTTATAACTGGAACATCAAAATCGAAATACGCTTCTAGAAATAGACTTCTAGAAAACAGCTCTGCAGATAGCAATTTACTGGAAAAGGCTCATTTAATTGGGGGCCGTCTTCTCACAAAATACATATTTGCATAAGCAGCGATAAATAAACTATCTATAGAAAAATGTACGGCGTTAACTGGGAGGCTGCTTTTGCCCAGAAATCAAACATCTCCCGCCGCCTCCACAGCCGTGTATCAAAGAAGCCGCCGGCGCTTACTCATCCTTTCCAGGAATGAAAGTAGGCGGAGCTCTCACACTTTGTGTACGTGATCAGGAAGGTGGAACCTAAACTTGTCGCTGTGCATGCCGGGCGTTGTAGTTTTTCTATCCCGCTTTCAGCCAGCGACCGAATGGGCATAAAACTACGAATCCCAGAAATTTTAGCGCTGTTATTTGGGGCAATTTTCACGGCGCCTGGAGTTTAATCACACGTGGGAGTGGTAAGATCAGAAAGATCGGATTGACCGAGACGTAATTCCTGGCAGTGTAAACTTGTAACTAGTTTATCTGGGCTTTCATCCAGAGAAATCCAGGGGCGGATTCCGTTTATAAAAAACACCTGAAGAGGAAAGTCCCGGCTAATTCTGATGGATGGGAGATTTTTTTTTAGAGCTCCTGAAAAATAGTTAACAATATAATCGTTTTTATATTTGATTGCTCACGCATACAGAGTAAATACCGTTGTTTCCCCGCCCCAGTATTTTTATTTGCAGCTTCCTATTCAATAGATTGCTTCCAGTCTCTGGTGCTAAAGTTTCAGATCGTTTAGAGCCATGGGGAATGGGATGAATAAGGTAAACTCTGCTTATCTTTGTTTTTTATTTTCGGGGTTGTGCTCGCGTGCGAGGGTTTAGGGGACCCCCCCCCTCCAGGACAGAAGCCTTCCGAGTGCCCCCCCCCCTTTCGGGTCCTTGCTTTGATCAGTACAAAAGGCTATGTTGAGTAACCCTTTGAAGAACATTCTAGATGCTGCAAGGGCTAAACAAATTACAGTAGCGTTTCGTTTGGAAAGCTGGGGTGTTTGCGGAAATCGGACGCGTGTCCGCCTCTCTGCGTGAATGCCATCTACACGTGCAACCAGATCCAATGCCTATAATGTATTCGGAAGTGGCTGGCGCTGAGTTCAGTGGATTTTGATTGCCGTTTACTCCTGCCGCTTCCTAACGGGGTTGCTCAAACAGTATAACTCCCGTTGGTTTCTAAATGGGGCTTACTCGAAGGTCGGTGGATTTAAAAGTTGGAAACCACGCGTTTTGCACCGCCTCTGTTAGAATACCTTGGTTTAGCAGAGAGTGAGAGAAAAATAGTTGTCCTAAAAATAGAAGACAAAAAACGCCCGCCTCGCTCATTAAAACTGCGCCGAGGCCCCCAACGCGCAGCTTAATCGGCAGCTTCGAGGTCTGCATTTTCAAAGTTTAAAGCTCAGCTCCCTTCCTCGGTGACTATTGGCGTCTTTCTCATTTGCATATAAAGCCGGAAATGCTTGTGATCATCAAAGATCTTGCAGCTGGGTTATTCAGCAGCTGGGCGAGGCTGCCTGGGCGCTTTAAATCGCTCGCATACCTCGGGAGCTTTTGCGAGTATTTTGTCTGCCGTTTGCTCTTTGCCAACGATGCTGTGATACGAAAAGGGAGGCCTATTGCCTCGATCTCCACACTCCTCCTATTCCCCCCCCCCTCCAAAATCCATTATTTCCATTTCCATTATTCTGTCTGCTGCTTGGATTGGTGGGAGATGTTTATACGTTTTCATTTTCAGTTATAGTGGAATAACTTGAAGGTAATTTGTGACGGTACTTTTGCACCTCCAGGTAGTCCCTGATTTACAAGGGTTCATTTAATGACTGTTCGAAGTTACAACCGCAATGAAAAAAGAGACTTACGACCTTTTTTCACCCTTAACAATTGTTGCAGCACCCCTCTGGTCACCTGATCAAAATTCAAAGGTTTGACAACTGACTCATATTTATGATGGTTGTAATGTCCCCTGGGGTCATGTGATGACATTTTGTGACCACCTGACAACCTAAGTCAATGGGGAAGCCAGATTCACTTAGCATCCTGTTCCTAACTTACCAGTTGGAATTATTTACTTAACAATTGTAACGAGAAAGGTTGTAAATTCACTTAAGAGCGAATTTTGGAAAGTTTAAAATGGCAGAGGTACCTGAAGGAAGTTGAAGTTATGTTTGAGTTGTAAATCAAAAATAGCATGCTGAAATTGAATCTGGGGATGAATAAAGTCAAAATTAACAGGTATGATACATTCAGAATTTCTAATTCGGGTTTCCACAAGCTATGAAATTTATTGCCAAGAGATCATTTCTATCATTTTAGTCAAAGTGGTTGTGATGCTGAGGTTAATAAGAATTTTTGTGCTATATATTTGGAGATCCCCTAGTTAAGGGGTGTCAAACTACCGGCCCGCAGGCCAGATGTGTCATCCGGAAGCCGTGCCCACCCCATTGCCGGCAATGGCAAAACCGTCCCGATATGTTGCCATGTCTGCCCTAGTTAGAGAAGATTGCTATAAGTCACTCCCCCCCCCCAAAAAAATTTGGTAGCATATACCAGTTGAAGTTTACAAATTGTTTTAAAGAGGGCCTTGTCATGGATTGTGTTATTGCATTCAGTTCTTTAGATAATCACATAATTAGCCTAAGCCACATCAAGACTTTTTAAGGAAGGTGGTGGGATGCAGATGCTATTTCTATTTGCTGATGACTCATAGAATCAGCTCATAGAATCATAGGGCTGAAAGGGATCTTGGAGGTCCCTTTTAGTCCAGCCCTCCTGCCAAGCTGGAGTCCTTATACCATTCCAGACAAATGGTTGTCCAATCTTGAGATGGAGCACCCACAACTCTGGGAGGCAAGCTGTACTGTACTATTGGCAAATTCTTTGACTGTCAGGAAAGTCCTCCTTATTTCCAGGTTGAATCTCCCTCTGACAAGCTTCCACCCACTGCTTCTTGTCTTCTCCTCAGATTCTATGGAGAATAAATCAGTGTCCTGTGACAGCCTGTCAAGTATTGGAAGACTGCTGTCATGTCTTCTCTGAGCCTTCTCTTCATTAGGTTAAACATACCTAGTGCCCTTAGCCGTTCATTGTATGATTTAGCTTCCAAATCCCTTATCTTTGTTGCTCTTCTCTGCATTCTTTCTAGGGCCTCAGCATCTTTTCTGAATCATGGTGACCAGAACTGGATGCACTATTCCAAGGGTAGTCTCACCAGTGCAGTATAAAGCAGTATTATCAGGTCCCGTAATCTTGATGCTATCCCTTTGTTGAGGCAGCTTAGAATTGCATTAGCTCTTTTGACAGCTGCCGTACGCTGCTGAGTCATATTTACCTCCTATTCTATAACTATGCATTTGGTTTTTCCTGCCTAAGTGCAGGACCTTACATTTCTCACCACTGAATTGCATCTGTTTGGATAGGGCCCAATGCTCGAATGTGTCAAGATTCAGAAGAATCTTGAGTCTCCTCCAATGTGTTGGCTTGTCGTCGTCCCCCCGCCCCAAAAACAAAACAAAAAAAGCATTGCTAGGAGAACCATTAACTTGCAGAGTTGATCTTTTGGGCCAATGCATCAGGTTTTTTTTCTGAGAGGAGATGCAATGCTTAGCTCCCAAGAAAAGAGTCTGGCCACAAACAGCGTTTCTGACTTGTCTGTTTTAAGGCTTTTTAAAGCGTTGGTTGCATTTGTAGGTTTCCACAACTAAAAAATGTGTTGCATGTTTCCTATAACCTTAAATGTTCATATAAATCCGGATTGTTTACTTATAACTTATTATTCATTGTGTATAAGCACCATCACTTTTTCTGTTGTTTTTTTAAATTTCGTTCACTTAAGTTTTTGGTTTTTTTTAATTGTCCTTTTTATTAGTTTATAATATAAAATACAAAAATACAAAAACAATAGGAAAAATAGGGGAGGGAAAAGAGAAGGGAAGAGTGCAGAAAAGAAGGGAAAAAGAAAGAAAAGGCGTTGACTTCTATTCCCTTTGGTGCAGTAGAATAAGATACTAACATCAAACCTCAACTTTTTACTTTTACCTAAATAGTATAAACTAGCCATTTACTTATTAGATAGATTTGTTGATATAGAAATGGCACTATCACTTTTTAAAATTATATATCATGTAATCATAGATTAGCTAATTTGTAAACATAATTATCCTATCTGGATCTTCAAGATCAGAAAACAGCTGTTTTGGATTTTCCGTGCTTCTCTAGTATCAGTTTTATTGATTGATTGCTTTGCTTTCCATTCAGTTGTGTCCAGTTTTTGGAGATTGCCTGCAACATTTCCTGCAGTTTCCTTGGCAAGGTTTTTCATAAGTGGTTTGCCATTGCTTCCTTCCTAAGACTAAGAGAAAAGGCCTGGCCTAAAGCAGGATTAAAACTCACAGCCTCCCATTTTCTAGCCTGATGTCTTAACTCCACTATACCAAGTGACCCTCACAGGATATCATATTTAATAATGGCCTTTGTCTTTAAAAATGGGTTTATCTCTTATATTTGAGCTTTAGATTTTATTCATTTTATGAAATTCCCAATATTTGTACAACAGAATTTATAATAGCTAGTGGTGCAGGCTTATGAAGGTGAAATCCTGCACATACTATTCATTTCATGTTTATCAACATAGATATTGACAAAGTACAGAAATAATGTAACTGATTTGACTGTAAGGTTGGGTAGAAGGTGAATGCCTGCTCTAGAACTAAATGCACAAATTTTAGAAATGAGGTTTGAGATACATATCTGCAAATAAGTAGAATGGAGAGATTTTCAAGAAACCATTCATTGTTCTAAATTTCAACATGTCCATGCAATTGTAACTTTATTAGCCTATAAGGTTTGGAGAGGAAACAGGGAGTAGCTTGAATGTCTATTGTTGTTTAAGCTGTGTTTAAGCTCAGTTGTGATGACTTCATTGCAAGGTGTGAGGGGGGGGCACAATAAGGGAAGTGGGTGTGACCATAACAAACCCCATCCACTTTACACTTTGATACTTCCCTTTGTAATACATGGGCCGTCTTGGCACAAGAACAAAGGATAGGTTGTAGCAGTTGCCCTATTGTATTCAGGGTCAACTTGGAATGAGTAAAGGAAGTTCCTTGCTGAGTGAGGGGGCTTGGCCATATTTTTATTCAATGACAGTAGCTAGAGCAAAACTCTGTTTGGCACTAAAACAGCATGCAAACATCTAATGAAAATCAAGTGCTAAAACTGCAAATTTATATGCCTCTGGATCTGATCTGACCTTCATAAATTGCCTTAGTTGGTCAACTGAGTCTATCCTTTGGTTAAAGCTATATATGGTTTGGACAAGAAAAATCTGCTGGAGGGATTACTTCAATTTTCAAAACTCCCTTTGTTCTTAAGCCGGGGAGGCTTACTTCCTTCCCCTTACTGACCAGGACCAACCCCCAGAGCTTGCAAACAGCTGCTGTTGCCACAGTTGGTGCTTGGATCATCTGGCTATTGTTTGTTCCTGTCTGACCAATTGGTAATGCCACCCAAGGTAGCATGTCCGCTCTTGGAACCTACATAGAGTGGAATGAGAGACATTCACTCCACATTCTTCCCTCTTCTCTCTTCTCTCTCTCTCTCTCTCTCTCTCTCTCTCTCTCTCTCTCTTTTTGTCTCCAGGTTGTTTTTCTTTTTGCCTTATTTTAGATTAGACGCTCTTTAGCATCATAGGCTCGGCTGGATTGCTTCCTGCTTATTCTAGAGGATGGTGTAGCTCAGTGGTTCTTAACTTGGGCGATATTGCCCCCCAGGGG